TTCTTAATAAGACATTTAAAGGCGGGAAAGACACTGATAAGGCACCGTGCTTCATCACCGTTTCCAGGCGGGGATTCCGCCGTCTTCACTTGTCGCAGAGCTGTGCTGTAAGACGGAAGACGACTGGTCTTTTTCCAGACTCCAAGATGTCTTTTTCCAGACCACGCAATCCTTTTTGCTTTTTGTTCGACAGCCGTGGTCCAAAAAAAGACTTTGATCTTTTTTTTCGGCTCCAAGCAGAGGCCAGAAAAAAGACAAGTTGGAGGCCGGAAAAAAGATCCTTTATCGTGTGTGTGTGTGTGTGTGTTTTCACATGATTTTTCATTCTTATTTTCTTTGCTTTTGCCCCCTAAAGCAATATCGTGTGGCTTCTCCTTTCTTCGTGTTGGAAAACGTTTGATTGATATTTTTTCGATAACACAGTTTGATTTCTTTCGTTCGCTTTCAGCCCCTAAAAGCGATTTCGTGCTTCTTCTTCTTCTTTTTGTGTGTGTGAGAAGTTATAGTATGGTTAAGTTAGTTTTTGTGCGGTTTGCGTTGCAAAGTAAAGTTGATATTGTGGCGCTCTTTGTTGTGTTGTTTGATGTGTTATGTGTGCGTGCTTCTGTCTTTGCTGGTTAAAAAAAAATTAGAGGCCCAGAAAAAGATCCACCGGGGTCCGAAAAAAGACACGGGGTCAGTTACGAGATATTTCGGGGCCGAGAAAAAGACGGTTTAAATCGTAGAGTGGAGGTCGAAAAAAAGAGCGTAATCTTTTTCTAGACCTTGTCGCGGGGCTGAAGAAAAGATGGAGGTCGGAAAAAAGACACGCCGGGGTCGAAATCAAGATGGACCAAGCGTGGGGTCTGAAAAAAGACATTTCGGGGTCGATAAAGAGAGCAGCCCGACGGGAGAACTGCCTTGAGACCATTCCGGTCATGAAACTGACTGAGGGCATTGCTGATGCAGTGTGCAAGTTGTGTCGCCCAAAGATTGAGAGTTGTGATGATTCGTCCACCAGCGGGTCGGAGGACTCGCAGGAAGAGCAGGGGCTTGAGCCAGAAGCGCTAGGACCATCAGTGCCGAGCTTTACTTGAGTGGAGCAGTGATCTTGAAAAGGGGGCTCGGCAGAACCAGCAGAGTTTAGCAGGCTGCAGGTGGAAGCAGTGCTTTGCGAACAGTTCGTGAGTTTTGCTGCGGGTGGAGTGCAGCTGAATGTTAGAGAGATGCCGGTGGAAGTGCATCACCATGAGTCTTGAATTGTTGCCCGGTGGAAGGCACTCGAGATTCAGTTATGCGAAGGAATGAACACGCATGATAGAAGCTTGTTGAGCTTGCACGCGTGAAGATTGTGAGAACGGCTTTAGTTTTCTTGCACTGTACTTTTCCGTAAGTCCATTGTTGTCCAGGAACAAGCCAAGCATGGCCGCACCCCCGCCGACTGAGTTGCCCGCTGGCGCCACGGAAGCTGCGGCCTTGGATTTCTTGGACAAAGAAGTCAGCTCCGATTTGGTACACATCTTTCAAGAATGTGGTGTTCCTTTGGGGTTGCAATTTCGACTGGCTCAGAACTTCAAGAATGTGAAGCGCTTTTCAACTTATGCTGACACTCGCGCTGATGTGAGAGTTGCGCTAAAGGATGATCATGCTCTGGAGGCAACCAATCAGGCGAGCAGAGCGGCGGTTGCTTCTGTTGTCTCTGCATGGGAGACTTCCAAGGATTATGCCAGCAAGGAGTCCGAGCTGAGAGCTGAAGCACGCATGCTGGGGGTGAGTCGGCCAGTCACTCAAACAGAGAAGCAAGCGATGCGCATTGCATTTGAGACTGCACATGGTACCTTAGAGGAGGCATTTGAACCGTCAGACGATTATATTTCGGCAAAGTTAGAGGAGATCGAGAATGGAGAGGCTTCAGCAAGCGCTTTGTCCGAAGTGACATCGAGGAAGCGGGTCAGAACGATGGGCATCCAAACGACTGTTCACACTGGGCCGGGGTCATGTGCGGATCGTGAAGCAGAAGAACAAAGGAGCAATGCCGCAGCATACTGAGGAGCTGCGCACAGTCCTTCGTGTGGAAGGGAACATGTGGACCATGTTGGCTTCGAAGTTCAAGAACAAACCGTTCTTTGCTAACATGACTCCTGAGGTTTGGCTGAGTTATGTTAACTTTCTCTTGGGGGAGAAGGTGTATCTCATGCAAGTTCCTGCTGGAGGTAAGGGTGGCAAGCTGGACCAGGCCCCGCTGCGGCCGCCTTGGGTCGTTATCCTCAATTTCGAGTTTGAGCTACGCAAGGAGGCCATCAAGCGGGCGTACCGCGACTCACGCCCCCTGCGTGATACATTGCGGGAAGTGGTAGATGATGCACAGATCAAAGAGCAGTATTTCACTTCGCCGATTGCTTTGCAGAATCGGGGGAAAAGGGCGAGTGAGTCTTGGGAGCCATGGGAGGCCGATGGTTACAACAAGTGGAATCGTAATGTCGTAATGCCTGGAAAGGTGGATGGAAGGGAAAGGGTGGGCAACGCGGTGAGAAGGGGAAGAAAGGAAAGGAAGGAAATCCGAAAGGGAAGGAAGGAAAGGAAGGAAAGGGGAAGCAGCAGAGCATTACCACTTCACGGACCCCGGACGGCAGATTCATCTGCTTCGCTTACTCCGGACCAGGTTGCGACGGCAATTGCGGCATGGTGCATTGCTGCATGGTGAAAGGATGCTTGGGCTCACACCCTACGTGGAAGCATTGGCAGCTTCATCATGATGGCAAGAAGACGGACACCAAAAGCTGACTGAGCATTTTGCTCATGACAACGGACTTTGATGTGGGTGCCTCTTTGCATGCGTGTTTGAAGAATTTAGCTGAGCGCACCGGCTGCGAGCTCAGTGTCGATTATGCAGACTCGGATGGCAGCTTTCTGCATTGGTCTAAGACCTCAACCTGGGAAGCTGTGGTACAGCAAGCGCGCCATCGCGCTTGGGACGTGTGTTTAATGATTCTGCCTAGCAGCACTTACAGCCGCGCAAGGCATCGACATGACGGGCGACAGAGTGGACCCAAACCTTTACGAGCCCGTGATTTTCCCGGTGGGTTCCGATGGCTTGCTAAGCAACACATGGCTGCCGTTGAGCATGAGAATTTCTTGATTTCACGTTGTGTGCATTTGGCCACCGTGTTGGGAGAGCTACAGATTGGGTGGCTGCTGTTGCATCCCGAGGACCTAGGCGTTCTTGAGAACAATGACTTTCCCGCTAGCATTTGGCAGCGGCCTGAGATTAAATCCACTTTAGCTGATTTGCCAGGTACAAAAACTTGGGCAGTGCATATGTGCAGTTATGGAGCGGATGCGGCACATCCGACCCGGGCGATCACAAATCTGCGAACAGGCCATGCCCTGGCCCATACTTGATGACCAAGGTCACTACACTGGACCACTTGTGAGCTGTGGGCACACGCATCCCAAAACAGCGGGACGCCAAGAAACTGCATGGGCCACCAAATCCTGCTTTCCGCTTGCTTTTATTGAGTTTCTGGCAGAGCTTGCTTATGAACGTGCAGCCACGGGGCGAGCAACTGATTCATCCTTTCAAGGTGCCGAGGATTTCGCCAGGTCCTTGTTGGAGAGATCCCAGCCGTTGCATAAGCATGATTGCGAGGCTTTAGCTAGACTGTTGCCCTTCGAAGCGCCGCTTCTTCGGCCTGCGCCAGAGTTGCACCACCTTTCCGCATGCTGTCAAGTGTTACACTTCCTTCTTGCGAAACACTTTCCCAGGGAAAGTTTTCAGCTCGCTGGCGATCTTCGACAACGTGGCAGCCGCCGTGCATAAGGATACCAGAAATGCGCCATTCCCAAACCTGCTGGTGGCCTTCACGGAGTTCCAACAAGGTCACATATGGTGCGAGTCTTCCACAGGCACGGTGCACCGCTCCGTTCGTGGCGTTGATCGCCCAGGCCGTCTTTTACCTGTTGCCGATTCGCCACAGACCTTGATGGCGCATGAAGTCTTCCACCAGACAGAACCTTGGACAGGCGATCGCTTACTGCTTGTAGGCTTCACGGTGCAACGCACTGCTAACCTGTCCAACAGCCAGCAGGAGCTCCTTCATGCGCTCGGCTTTGTCTTATTGCCCCCGTCCGAAACTCTGAAGCAAGGGGGTGAGGACGGCGACAACAACAAGCCGGACACAGACCTGGAACCCCGCCTGGAGAATAGCACCCCCCATGAGGGAACCGCTTCTGAAACCCCGGAGCCGGTTAACACCCCCTTGGGAGGGACCACCCAGGAGGCTTCGAATAGCACCCCGATGGAGGGGACCACTCCGTCGGCTCCCGACTCTGCTTCCCCTAATCCTGAACCAGCTGCCAGGAGAGCGAAGAAGAAAACGATGATGATGGGGACTTTGATCCGGCTACAAGTAGATGTAGGGGGCCACCGATAAAATGTAGGCGCGCTCGAGAATGGAGGGAGCTGGTTGATGGCTTCGGCTTGTGCTCTCCGGGCAGATGGAGACCGCTTGCAAGGAATGCAACTGCAAGCTCAGGGGAGTATAATCATGCTGTGGAGCTGCGAGAAATTCTTGCGCAGGCTGTGCGGTCATCCCTCCCGGATCTTCGGAAAGCTTCGTACCTTCTTGCAGCAGGCCGCATGGCAGCTTCTCCTTTCAGCAAGGAACTGATTGAGAACGCCCGGGCACGAATTGCCGAGACCTTGCCAGATCCCGAGCAAGCCTTGTGTCGACCCGAAGGGCAGCCCGTGAGGTGGACTTGTCCATCAGAATGAGATTAAGAAACATAACTTGCTCACATTTTCATGTGCCAATATCGAAAATGCTTTCCATTTGTTGAGTCGAGTTTCGACTCTTTTATGGATTGATTTTCATGTCACACGGTGATTTGTTTTACATGAATTTCTTCATGTGCAGTTTTTGTTCCCTCCTGCTGGAGGAACAGATGACAATCAATATTCGTCCGAACCTTTGGGCTCGGCTCTGCGGAGTCCAAAAGGGGAGGGGGGGACTCATTTGTGTATGGGTCGGAGTGATCGTCATGCGCGATGGGTGACGAGGAGCCTCAGACTCCAGTCTGTCGTGGCAGGACTTACCTGAGTGTGTCAAGAAGGCTCTTGATCAGGAGTCGCGACAGCCCTCTCCCGAGATTTTGTCGAACTTGTTTTCAGATGATTCAGACATCAAAGATTTCGTGGAATCACTGGGACTTACAATGGGCTCAGCTGAATGGTTCAGTGCATGCGAAATACTTGAAAAGGTCTGCTCTGATGTATCACAGGCTGCAGATCGCGTCTTGAGGACTAGAGCGGTGCAAGGTCAGCTGGCGCAAACGTCCTCATCGATTTCGGCTGGGCCTCAGCAGCAGCTTGAAGTGGGCACTGGGTGGCTTCAGACAAGAGCCGGTGCAAAGCGATCCCTCACAGCGTGGCCGTGTCGGTTGGCCAAGAAACTTGCCTTGGCCAAGCACGATCGTGCGAGGGCCGACGCTGAGGCTGCAGAGCTCCGACGCTGGAGGCAGGCTTTAGCGAAGGAGCTGAAAAGGGCTTGTATGCCGGTATGCTCAATGGCAAGTTACGCCCTTGATTGCCAAGCTGTATTGGAGGCGTCAGCAGGAACGCTTAGAGCGTCCACCCTAAGACGGCACGTGAGGGAATGGTCCAAGTTTTCGGCATGGTTTTTCGCTGTTGAGGGGACAGTGTTCCCCTCGCATCTGGGCCTCTTGATGAATTATGTGGAAGAGCTGGCGCAGGAACCTTGTGCCAGGACCAGACTACAGTCTGTGCTCTCTGCGGTGATTTTCTTCGAGAGGGTCGGAGGAGTCAAGGCCGAGGCCTCCATCTCCTCTCATGTCCTGGTGCGGAATTTGGTTCGGGTTCGCACTGTTGAGCTTGAAGCAGGGGCGCCGCCTACCAAGCAAGCTCCAGCGTTGGCCCTCATCATGGTCATGTCTTTAGAGGCTGTGGTTGTGAACTCTGCGCATAAGAAGTTCGTCAGAGCGTATGCGTGGGCACGGCTATTGAAACTATGGACATCTAGCAGGGCCAATGACCTGCAGGGCATTCTACCGGAGCAGATGACGATGTCTTCACAAGGATTACGAGGAGTTTTCGATAGAACGAAAACCTCGGGAGCTGACAAACGCATCAGATGGCTGCCGTTCTTTGTTTGCAAGGATGCTTGGCTTTTGCATAGCGATTGGCTGGCTACCGGATATGAGATCTGGGCTTCTGATGGGTTTGCCTTCTCCAGGGATTATCTGGTGCCTCGACCTACAAAGGGACTGACCTCCTGCCTGCCAGTTATGGCGAGCTATGTGGATATGTCAACGATGTCCAAGCAGCTCCTGTGGGAGCTAAAGCGGCCAGAGCTGACCGAGGCTGGGAGTGTGCGTCATACTGATGCTGCGCTTTTCGAGGATCCGAGTGTTGTTGCTGCTTTTACCGAACATTCCGAGAGAAACTTCATTGCCACACTTGCGTCATGGTCGGGTATCGATCGTGAGCGTCGTTCCTACTTGGGACGTTGGCATGTCGTGGAAGCCTCAGATGAGTACATTCGGAGTGCTTGGTTCATTGTCACTTCGCTGCAGCGACATGTTATTCAGAGCCTTTGCAGCAACCCCGCCTTTCTGGAGGTAGGTCTTGATGATTTGTTTCAGGCGCTACAGAGGGCCGGGGTCGAGAGCTCGGTGCGTGACAGGGCTCTTGATCTCTTGCGGCCGTTGGAGGGCTGGGCCGAGTTTCGGGCCCAACATCTCGCTGAAAGCAGCGGGAACGGCATCAAGCCTGGTGATCTTGTGATGCCTGCCAGGGCGCCTGAGGTCAAAGATGCATGCAAGTTCTTTGTATCTGTTCTAGGAAAGAAGAAGCTGCGGCGGCTTCATCGTGTAGGTGGATGCGGCAGCACGCCTGAGTCTGTGGCAAACTGTGAATTGTTTGAGTCGCTGGAGGGCGTTTCTTATGATTGGCAATGCAAGCACTGCTTCAAACCTGAGCAGGGACAGCAGGCAGCCCAGGCGGACGCTTCGGGTTCGGAGGACTTCTCCTCCAGCACCGCCGATGAGGCACAGACCTCAGGAGAGAGCTCGAGCGAGTCGTGATTGCTCGGACTGCAAAATGTGTGCACCCCTAGGGTCGATCGTGTTCATAGTGAGAGTGCTACTGCTGCTGGCAAGTGTACGTCAAGGGATCATGCTTCCACTTGCAAGTGTACGCCAAAGGATTGTGATCTCGAGCTGGGAAAGGAACGATCAGTTTCTTCATCACGCGTCTTGAGGGCCTCATGGAACCGGAGCCTGCTTCAGAGCCGCCTGCTGAGCTTCACGAGAGGGAAAGCACGGATGATACTTTCTTGCTGCTTTCTGACCATGTGTGGGAGCTAGAACAGCGGGTGGCCGTTTTGGAGCGGCGACTGATTGCAGTCGACCCGGTGCCTAGGGAGGATCTTCGGAGAGAGATCACAGGCATCTCACGAGCCTTTTTCGGGCTGGCCGATAGGGTATCGGGCCTGGAGCTTCGTGTCACTGAGCTGGTGAGGGCGCTTCGGAGTTGCTTCGCAGGATTGCGCGGCTAGGCTCCTGAATGCACAGTGTACTGCGACGCGGGTGAAGGGTGTCAGGCCTGGCAAACTTCGGTGCGTGCGCGAGTGATCGCATCAGCATGGTGAGATCGGCAATCAGCACAAAGGTTTCGCCGGTGACGGTTCAACCAGGGTGCGTTGCTGAATTGAGTATTGTCCTGCCTTAGATTTTTAGAGCTTTTCTTGCGTCTCATGGCGGCGCCGGCTGCTCTGACGGCCGTGCAGAGAGGGCACTTGGAGACGTTGGGGCCGGATCTCAGGTTCCAGCTTGAGCAGGCGGATGTTCCGGCTGTGTGGCAGGCTAGGCTGGGAGAGCTGGGGATCCGCAATGTGGCAGTGTTCTCGGGGCTAGACGAGTCTCGGGAGCGGGTGAGAGCTGCACTGATTGCGGAGCTGCCCATCGATCCTACAGCGGGGGTTGCAGAGCGGCTCGTGGTTGCACGCCTATTGGCGGCTTGGGAAGCATCCAGGCTTCACTTGCAGGTTTCGGAGAGAAACAAAGCTGAAGCGCGGCTGGGGACTCAGCAGCGACTTGTGCAGCCTAGTGAGCATCATGCCATGCGGCTCGCAGTTGAAGCCTCGCTCGGGAAATTGAAGGACAAGGAAGTTCCTGCCAAGTCCTTGCTAGCGGCCAAGCTAGAGCAGATCGAGAACAATCAGCCGGTAGCCGAGCTGCTTACCGAAGTGGCGTCGCTCGAGGATTCAGAACTCGAGGCGTACTCGGCGGTGATCGATCCTACTACCAATGTGCTTAAAATCAAGCCTGGGAAGACTCTTACTGGCATGCCCAACAATCCTGAGGAGCTGCGGTTGCGCCACAGGCGCATCGGGCTAGCTTGGGACTTCTTGGCTACCAAGCATGCTCTCAGGCCCTGGCTGTCTAGAAACTCCACAGATGTCCTGCGGAGGTTCAGTGATTATGTGTTGGGCTCACAAGTTGCTGGATTGGTGGCTGGTGACGGGCACACTCCAACTTGGGAGCTCGTCTTGAGCTTCGAGCTCGAGGCTCGCAAAACTCTGTATCGCTGGATCCGGGACGGCGAGGTGGGCACCATCGAGGAAGCCTTTACAAAGGCCATGCATGATATGGAGCTTCTCAATCGACATCTTGTCATCCCTTTCTCGCTTCGGGCCGTGCCGCCTCCCCCGTCTGTTCCGGCTGACGGGAGGCGCGAGTCCAAGGGAAAGGGCAAAGGCAAGGCCCTGAAACGTGCATTGGCTGCGGCGGCAGCCGAGGAGGCCCCTGGCAAGAAGGCTGCCAAGCTCATGAAGACTCCAGATGGCAAGCCAATTTGTTGGAAGTTCAACCGGAAAGAAGGGTGCAAGAACAGCGCCTGTCGCTTCCTTCATGTATGTCAACGTTGTCTCGGCAAACACCCTTATCATGCTTGCACGCAAGTTCGTCGTCCGGAGGCGGCTACAGCATCTAACTGACTCTCGGACGGCGGCGACACCGAGGAGAACGTCTCTCAAGGACTCGATTCTCCTCCGCAATCCGACATTTCTTTCCTCTATCTTTTCGCGGGAGAGTCTCGCCGGGCTGACTTGCGAGAAAGCCGGGCTGTCATTCCGCTATCAAGAAGTTGATATCGGAGAATCGGCTCCGGATGTTCTTTCAGACTCTTTTTGGTTGAGATTGCTCAATCAAGTTCGACGACATGAATTCAATCTTCTTTTCATGAGCCCGCCATATTCTACATTCAACCGGGCCACGTTCGTCAATCGCACGGGACCACCGCCTCTGCGGAACTCGGACTGGCCGGAAGGTTTTCCCTGGCTCTCCGGTGTATGGAAATCCAAGGCAGAGGCTGGAACGAGTTTGGTGCGCCGGGTATTGTCCTTAGCCACCCTGGCCACCAAGGAGCATGTACCCTGGTTGATCGAGCATCCGGAATTTTTGGGTGCTACAGCGGCTGGTACCCCGGCTTCAATCTGGACTTGGGAAGAAGCTGTTCGTGTTTTCCAGGAGACTCGCGCCACTTCGGTGGCCCTTCATCTTTGTGCCTTCGGCGCCGCTCAGAGGCGGCCGACACGATTAGCTGGAACCTGGCACGGTCTACGGTCGGTTGGTGTAGCCGGTTGGCCGCGACTCGATCCTCAGCAGCACTATCGAGGGCCGTTGTCTCGCAAATGCGGTCATGCACATGCCCCTCTCATCGGCACCGACAATAGTGGTCATTTTCTCGCCGGGCCGGCTGCTTACCCTTCGGGCTTCTGTGAGGCGCTGGCCAGTATTGCGGTTCTCACCTTCAAACAAAGAGTGTCCTCCGAATCGGTGTTGGGGGAGGAGCAAGTTCGTTCTTCAGACACTCTTGAGAATGCCACTTCGACCGCGGTGGTCCACCAGGCTGAAGCTCTGGCAGGGCGTTTGCAACACTCGGCGGTCTCGAAGGAGTCTTTACTTCAGATCTTCGACTTGCTTCCCGGCGAAGAACTGGCCCGAGATGGAGTCACTTGGAAGGATTCGAAATCTTTTGCTGTCGGGGCTTATGCCGTGGGCGGTAGCCTTGCCGGCCTTCGTAGAAACTCCAGGTTGTTTCCCGGGGTGGCTAGGGTTTTGTGTAGGTTCGTTCGGGGTCTGGACGCGAGCTTCACATTCTCTGCCATTGCGATGTTTCGCAACCTTCAGACGGCCCCGCACCGAGATACAGGCAATGAGCGAGGATCGAGAAATCTCGTGGCAGGTCTCTCGTCCTTTCGGGGCGGGGGCATCTGGACTCAGGATGGTGGAGGTCAAGAACCGTGCCCTTCGAATCCCTCCTTGGGCTTGGGACATACTCTCGAGTTCGATGATGGCTGTCATGTTTGCTTCGATCCCACCGCTTGGCACTGCACGCAGGCTTGGGAAGGGACTAGAACAGTACTCGTGGCATACACCCCTCGGGTGAATCCTTCCTTTCCTTCGGCTGACTGGAGGTTTCTGGAGGAGCTGGGATTCAACTTGCCACCCCAGCCGGGGGTAGCATCCTTGCCACGCGCGGTGAAGCGCATCCTGGAGGACAACAACGATGATGCCGTGCCGAAAGACGATGAGTGGTGGAGGCCTAAACCCGACAACCGCGACGACGAGGAGGAGGGTGGCTCAACTTCTGAAGAGGATGTCGATGGCGTTCCCAAGGCAAAGCTAGGTGAAGGCGTACTCGGCTTTGGACCTCCTCTGAAGGCCACTCTCGTGGGAAAGCGGATTGATTTCTCTGATGGACATGGCTTGGCATCTCCTGGTCGATGGTTGCCAAAGGACAGGCCAACGAGTCTCACGCATCCGGACATTTCTTTGCACGGGCAGATTTTCGAGGACGCTCTGCACATGCTCCAAAAACACATCGACGTGAGGAAAGAAATCTGTCGCTTGGCAACGGGGAGGGCCACGTCTTCGCCTTTCCTTGATTCGATGGTGGTGGAGATGCGCTCGCTTGTTTTCCAGCGGCTGAGGGACTGGGGCTCCAAGAAAGAGCTCGAGCATGTGGCTCCTCGACAGCCTTTCTACCTCGAGGCCATTGGGGAGCTCTTGAGGGCAGCTGGAGACCCGGATTGGAGACAATATGCTTCTTCATCCGTGTCCTTCGCAAGAGGGGTTCCGATCGGGGTAGGGGATCGTCTACCTCGGACGCCCGCACTTTTCGAGCGGAAGTGCAAACACAGGAAGTACCCCGATGCTGACACTCCGCTTGAAGACGGCCTTCGCGAAAACTATCCCGGGGCGCGAGACAACCCCGTACAACTTGACGAGCAGCTCGCCAAGGAGATGAGCCTGGGGGCGATGATCGCGCTCGACTTGGAGGAGGCCCGGGCGAAACATGGTGATTCCCTATCTGTCGCATCGCTTGGGGCGGTGCCCAAGCCAGACGGCTCTCTGAGGATCGTGCATGACGGCAGCAATGGGCAGCACATCAACGATTGCATCCGTGTTCGGGATGCCCAACGATATCCTACGGGCGCTGATCTTCAAACTGCCGTGGAAATATTGCCGCATGCTTACTTCTCTCTGAGTGGTGACATCAGCAGAGCTCATCGTCTTTACCTTGTGCAGGAGCGGGACTGGCCCCGACAAGCTTGTCGCGGATCAAATCCAAAGAAGGTATACTACAACTGCGTGGGGACGTTCGGCATCGCTTCAGCTTCATACTGGTGGTACAGACTCATGTCGGGACTGGGCAGACTTCTGTACTACTGTCTACAAGGCGACCCGACGGTTCTCCTGAGCTATGTGGACGACCTCATATGGCTTACCCAGCCGGAGACGGGCTGATCAAGATCTTGGCGACCATCTTATTGCTTCAGGTACTGGGGACCCCATTTGCTTGGCATAAGTTTGTCGGGGGACTTGAGCATGGCTGGATCGGGTTCTCGGTGTTCGCTTTCGGGAGGACGATTGGCATCAGCCAGTCAAGGACTGATTGGATCGTCGGCTGGATCCGTAAGACCAGGGCCGACGGCATGGTGCGAGTGGCCGACATGCAGTCCGTGTTGGGCCGCCTCTCATTCGCTTTCACGGTCCTTCCGATGCTGAGACCCTTCGGGGCCGCTGTACGCTTGGACCAGTGCAGTGTCTCAGTGCCACACCTTGCGACTCCCCAAGGCCGTCGACTTGGTTCTGGTCTTCGTGGAAGCGCTGCTGCTAAAGGGTCTTAGGGTCACGAAGGTTGCACAACATTCGTCTGAGTCGGCTCCGGAGCTCTTCAGGACGGATGCTAGAGCAGAGGGGCCAGAGATGCATATTGGAGGATGGTCATGTGCAGACTCCGACGATCCTCGTCGGTGCCGATGGTTTGCCGAGCGGATCAAACCTGAAGATGCTCCTCTCTTCTTTATGGCGGGGGAGTCTTACCGTTCCATAGCGTCCCTCGAACTTCTGGCCACCATGGTGGCGGTGTTGCTCTTCGCTCCTACGGGAGCGGGCCCTTCGCGGACGGTCTGTTCAGCGGGGACAGACAATAAGGGCAATTCACACATTGTCTCGCGTTGGCTCACGACTTCATTTCCATTGGTGGCCGTATTGATGGAATTAACTGCTGTGCTCCTTGAGAAGTCGTGCATGCTCGAGCTCACGTGGGCACCACGCCTTCAGAACATGCTGGCTGACTCTCTGACTAACGGAGACTTCAAGCAATTCGATCCAAAGCTGAGGTTACGATTTTCATTTGCCGAATACCAAGGTCTGGTACTCAGGCCTCTTTTGCAAGCGGGCTCTGCATTGTACGGTGAGATTGCTGAGTGGAAAGAGAAGCGGGTATCCAAAACCGCTGCCAAGCTTAAGAAGGCTGAGCGGTTGCGCGAGAAGGATCCCTGGAAGTGATGTGCCACTGTCACTCGTTGAGAGGGGAGAGTTCTTTTACGGACGTGGGGTGCAGTTGGCACAACACGTGTGTGACGGAGCATTGATCGACTATGCTTCTCTCCTCCCTTCCTCTTTCGTGCACTCTTTTGACAATCGTTGCACGGCAGCGTGAAAACATGTGGAGCCCGCGCGTTGCATTCAGTCATGTTGCTCGCTTCTTGTCAGTGCGAACAGTCTCATGTCAGAGTTTTCCAACTCAGATTTTTATAATCCTTTTTACTGCAATATTCTATTGCACTTGGGCGGGAACTTGTGGGCGGGTAGTTATGTTGGTAATCTCGTGAGGTGGACTTGTCCATCAGAATGAGATTAAGAACATCCTGAATGCTTGCAGTGTCTGGAGCGGCATGGCCACTCGTCAAGTTGACTCAGTCCCTGAGCACACGTTGCCACAAGCACCAGCTGCTTCGACTGCCTCAACCCCGAACCCTGCTGACTCGACCCCAGTTTCTGCTCTAGGTCCTGATGACCCTACTACCTCAGCTGTTGCCAACATTTCGGAGCATCGACTAGCTGCTGGTGCGGATTGGGTTTCATTTGCAGAGGCGCTAGGGCATCAGCTTAAGGACACCTGCGTGTTCTGCACACAGTGGTGCGCAAAAGGTGGTGGAGTCAAGCAACATATCCGCCGCACTCACCCTGAGCACTGGCATCATAACGAAGACGTTCTCCTCCGCCTGAAACAACATTACCGGCTCAAATATAAAGGACGTTGTCGGGTTTGTGCGTTTGAACCTTCGGGCACCCAAGCAGGCGCCTTACACACCCCCAAATGTCCAGCATATTACCAGGCTTGCCTATTACACGTGATTGTTCAGGCACAGCATGGAGCCCACTCTGGCGGAGAGGGAGGTGGCCAACGTCTTCGGTTCCTCGATGCCGGCCATTGCAGCAGCCAAATCGCAGCGCAGGGATCCGGACTCAAGCCCGGAGAAGTCGAAGTTCCTCAAGACCGATCGAGCCAAGGGAGTTCGAGGCAAGGGATTGGGAGGTCGCAAGCCGGCCCAGACCAGGGCCACGGGATCCCAACAGCAGCAACAGCAGGAGACACTGAGCGAGGAAACCATAGCGGAGCTCCTTGCCATCCTGACCCGACTGGCCCTCAAACACGAGGACATCTTGGCAGCAGTGCAGGCGGACAGCTGCTTCATGATGTATCTGGACACATCCGGAGACCTCTCCATCACGACCAACCTGTACCAGATCACACAAGCTTGGCAGACCAAAAAGCGGGACACCCCGGAGCTGCTCACGCAAAGTCTTCGGGTCACTCTTCTGACGGCACTGTTCATGGAGCTTCGGGAGCGCATGAACATGGCCCTGCTGGCAGAAAAACGCGAAGTGCTCGCCAAGCATCAGTGGATCAGCACCTCCGACCCGGCGACCTGGAATTACCAAAAGTGGGATCCGACGACCGAAGCCGCGGTCGTGGACGCGGCAAAGGTCGGCGTGCCGCATCAGGAGGCCATAGAAGTCATCCAGAAGATCATCCAGCTAGTTCCGTCCCTCCTTGTTCAAAAGTTTCACAGCACGCGACCCCAGGCTGCCGAATATCAATCCAATGTCCTCCCGTTTATGCTCATGATCAGCAATCGAGGCGAGAAGGCGCAAGACCTCTACAACCTCTTTCAAAAGATCTCCGACCTGAGTGCTCTGCGGCTCATCGGGGCGCGACTCCGTCCTCATCGCCAACGCCGTCAGCCATTGGCGCTGACGCTGGAGGACGTTGCAGCCGAGCTCCTGAAATCATCCAACCGAGACCGCCAGCCGGAGGGCGAGCTTTGAATGCATGGCCAACAGGTACACCTGCGTGTCCAGTGTTGTTCAATCCCGGACAGATCTGTTACATGAACTCCGTCATCACTCTATTTTCATGGCTTGTGCAGGCATTTGCGATGGACCTGCCGTCGCCATACGGCGTGATGAAAACGGCTTTTGGGACCATCAAGGCTGGCCTAAAACTCACCATCACCAACTGCCTTCCTTGGCAGACCGTGATCCGGCAGTGGTTTCGTGAAATGCAGACTGACCTTCATGCGCAGCAGGATGCAGTAGCATTTGCCGAGTTTTTGCTACGCCAAGCAGACATCCCAGCTTTCCGGGGCACTTGGGAGGCCAGAACCTATGAACGGATCTTGAATGACTCAGGTGTTTTGCCTATTCGACTTGAGCTACGTCGTACTGATCTTCAGGCCTGCATTGATTACTGGCATGAGCAGGCTGTGCGCTTCATCCAGGCACTGCGTGTGCCGCCCGCATTGCTCTTACTGCAAATTTCGCGTTTTGACCCGGAGGATCCACTTCGCAAATATGATGCACCGCTTTTGATTGAGGCAGGCCAAGTCATCACCATGCCGTGTTTCGACGATGCACACAGCATCATACGCGTGAGATACAGAGTTGCCGGTATGATTTACCACTGTGGACCCACCATCCATGCAGGTCATTACCAGACAGTTTTGTGCACCTTGCGGGCGGCTGAGGGCAGAGCATCCGGGTACCAACTTCATGTCACAGATGATGGTTGTAAACCCCGTAAGCCTAAACCCCAAGACCTTCAGCACCTGTCCACCGGAGCCTACCTCATAGGCGCCGTACGCTTAGATTGAGCACCTCTTGCGAAGCGCGCCGCATCCCGACAAAGAGTCGTTGCAGGCGCTAGCAGTTAATTCAAGTGCAATCATGTTTTCTCGAGTCTTCACCACTGTGCTGCACATGCATTTCTGCGGTTTGTGAGCTTTCTTTCTCGGGCAGCGCTTATGTTCCCTACAAGGCCGCCTGATGTTGCACCTGAGTTATGGCAGCTTGAACTGCCGAGCATACTTGGGCTTGCACATCCGGATTGTCACGACGACGATGATGATGATGACGATGAGCCATTGATTCCCAGAAGTCCTCGTCAGACACAGTCGCGAACTGTTGAGCTGGTGTCGCTCTTCGATGCCATCCCGTGTGATTCAACGCATTGCAGCTCACTTCGAAATCAGGTGATTCAATCCTTCACTGCTGGCATGTGTACCATGGGCCGGTCCAGTGTACGACTTAACACCATGCATCATCCTGACTTCGTGCGACTGGTTTGTGCCATGATCCGTGATGTATGGCCGGAGCATTACTTCACCAGTTTTACAGTTGTGGAGGGCTCCACTGGCAGCTGGCACCGTGACCGGAACAACGCATCTGGATTGAATTTGGTTATTCCTCTCACTTTCTTCCGACAAGGTGCGCTGTATATAGAATCTCCTGAAGCTCCATGGGTCACCATTGCTGGGGAGACTCGAAGAGCTACCAGGGCTGATTTCACTATGGGGCCCATTGCATTTGATGCTCACAATCTCTCGCATTGTGCCGAAGTTTCCGAGGATCGTCGCATTGTTTGCATTGCCTACTGCCTGCGAGGAATCCAACGTTTGAGCGCAGAGCACTACAGCTTTCTGTGTGACATGGGATTCAATGCTCCACTTCTTGACTTGAGGCCAGGGGACGTTTCAGAAACCATCATTACCGATGGCTTTCCTGACCTGCGCTACGCTTGAGTATACACTGTCTCTCATGAGTTGGTGTACCGTGAGAATTTTCGCAATCTAGCCGCAGATATGCCCTACGACTCATTGCGAGCTTCGGTTAGCAGTCCTCGCTGGACGCAGGAGGCTGCTATTGGTGTCGGGCACTGCTACGGCCACCGTTGCTTGCATCGTTGCAGTTGGGACGCCGATTGTAACACGAATGACGGGGGCATTACTTCACCATGTTTTCCGTAGCACACGTTCTTTTCTAGTTGTGATCATCGCTGTTCTTCGGGACGAATGATCTTACGTACTGCTGAATGCCAGCAGTCTGTGCTTTGGTCTACGGACCGGCAGACACGGATGCATAGCAGCTGCTCGCAGCCGGGCACTTAAAGTGCCTGTCCAAGTGTCGCCCCGCAAAGAGTTAGCTTTGTGCCGAGTTTGTACAACATCTCCGCCGTCTGACTCTGCGTTCGGAAAGGAAAAATGAGATTAAGAAACATAACTTGCTCACATTTTCATGTGCCAATATCGAAAATGCTTTCCATTTGTTGAGTCGAGTTTCGACTCTTTTATGGATTTTATGGATTGATTTTCATGTCACACGGTGATTTGTTTTACATGAATTTCTTCATGTGCAGTTTTTGTTCCCTCCTGCTGGAGGAACAGATGACAATCAATATTCGTCCGAACCTTTGGGCTCGGCTCTGCGGAGTCCAAAAGGGGAGGGGGGGACTCATTTGTGTACCCACCCGCCCAGCCCTGTTTGGAGGGGGAGAGTTCTTTTACGGACGTGGGGTGCAGTTGGCGCAACACGTGTGTGACGGAGCATTGATCGACTATGCTTCTCTCCTCCCTTCCTCTTTCGTAGTTATGTTGGTAATCTCTTCATGTTGCACATGCTGTCTCAATCCTTGAAGCTGCTGGGGGACCCTGATTATGCTATACTCGATCAAGGCAGCGAGTGCTTCGCTGAGGGTGTGCCGCTGGGGTGGGACAAACCGATACCACGCACGCCCCAGGTGTTCCCGAAACGTACTCGCTTCAGGAAGCTTGATGAATCTGATTTTGATCCATCAATGTTGAACTACCGATCGGCCGAGATGAACGCCACACAACTTGAGGAGAAGTTCCGCGCAGACGAGCAGGCAGGTCTGATGATCTGCACCACCGAGGCAAAGGCTCGCCGGAAATACGGGGAGGACGCGGTGCTCATAGCCGCCATGGGCGCCGTCACCAAGGCAAACGGTGACGTGCGCCCATTGCACGATGGGACCCATGGCATCAACTTGAACAACTCGATTAAGATCCTTGACAAACTGCAAGTCCCAGGACCTGAAGATCTTCAAGAGGTGGCTTCACGAGTCAAAGAAAGTAAAGAAGCTCCTTTCACGCTTTGTGCCGACATTAGCCAAGCACACCGGAATGCCAAAATCAGGGAGTGCGACTGGGCACGGTTAGCATGTAAATCTTCCAGCACATCGCGAGTCCTCTGGCTCACTAAAGTCGGAACTTTCGGAGTCAGTTCGGCGGCATACTACTGGACCAGATTGTTCGCTACTGTAGGGAGGTGGACTTTTCGTGTATTGCATCTCGACAAGTTCTACATGCTAATTTACGTTGATGACCTTCATGTGGTGGTGTACGGTGCCGAGAAATTTGAAACCTTATGGATCCTCTTCTTGGCGATGGAAGTTTTGGGGACACACTTTTCGTTCCACAAGTTTAAGGGGGGCGTCAGTGTGGACTACATCGGCTACCATATCAGCTACTACGAGTGGGCGGCCGGGATTTCTGAGAAACGAGCCAGCTGGATTGTCGAATGGGTCAACCGTGTTGAATCTGCGAAGTCACCGGACGGGCACTTACAGAGTTCACGGGGCGTCTTTGCTTCGTGACACGGCTGTTAACTTGGCTGAAGCCGTTTCTTGCACCGCTCTATGCTTGGAACAACGTGCTGAACCGGGGCACGGCTGCACAGGTCCCCGCCGAGATGGTGATCCATGTCCTTCGGTTTTTCAGATGGCAGTTCTTGAACGGGGCTCGTCTTGATGCCGTGCACATGTGCTGGCCGTCGTGCGAGCGCCAGGCCTTCAGGACGGATGCCAAGTGTGAATCCGGACGGATCGTGCTGGGTGGATGGTCACTTGATCACGGCATGGACACACGTCATGCACCTTGGTTTGCGCTGGAGATCTTTCCCGCTGATTTCCCAGCGCTCTTCAAGGAAGATGGGTCTACAGAGTGAGCCTCTACGGCTGCGGAGTTGCTGGCATCTTATGCCGGCTTGGTTGCTTTCAAACATCTTGAGACTTCGGGTGGTCGCGATTCGCTTCGCCTGCAGGTTCATGCTGGAACGGACAACTCAGCAACTCCGGCAGTGTTGCTAAGGGCATCAGCAACAAGTGGCCCGTGCAGGGCTTGCATATGCAACTGTCGCTTTCTTTGAAGGGTGCCAACAAGTTGTGCCGGCTGTCATGGCACCCGCGTGAGGAGAATCAGGATGCAGATGATCTGACGAATCTTCGTACCGGCAACTTTGATCAGGCCTTGCGGGTGCCCTTGTCGTTGTCTGACATACCGTTGGACTTGTTCAACATGCTTCAGGAATCCCACGCCAGTTTCTTGAATGAGAAAACAAGGCTCTCAAGTGCAAAGGCATTTGAACCGAAAGCTACGAAGAGACAGAAGTTGCTTGATAAGACCGAATGGTGAAACAGTCGGCTTCTCTCACGGCCGGTCTTAAGTTGGGGTGCCGATGCCGGTTGTTCGCTCATCCGGTTGCCGTAAGTGCAGTGACAGTGCACTCTTCTTGAAGCCCGTAGGCTGTGCAGACCGAATCCGGAGAGTCCCGACACACATCGCAAAATGAAGGTCGGTCCGAGTGGGTGCGCATTCAGTTTGAACATGTCTGTACTACGGCCTCGAAGCCAAAGGAGGCGGCCTCGGAGGCTGCGGCCTCGAAGCCCAGAGTCCCTTCTCTGGATGAGAAGACCGCTCCTGATTGGCCGATAAGTGCGCCGGCAGGCAGAGGCTGGAGAGAAAGCTTGCAACAGCCAGGGTCGCGGCATCCCAGGCAGCTCTCCAGTCCTGGGCAGAAGAAGAGCAGGCCAGAAAGGAAAAGAAGGAGAAAAAAAAGGGAAAGAAGGATAAAAAGCAGAAGGAGAAGGATGAAAAGAAAAGCGAACGAGAGAGATCAGAGAAAAAGGACAAGGAGGTGGATGAAAAATTGAAGGGGGCAAATGAGAAGGCAGCAGATGAGAAGAAGGACAACAAGCCTTCGGACGGGCCCAAGGGCCCGTCCAAAAAGTGCCCCATTTGCTGGAGGTGGATACAGGAGCATGCGGCCGCCCGTCGCCAGCACCGATTGTCGGTGTTTCACCGAACTTGGAAATACATAGCCCAAGGGCTCAGCAAGGAGGCTGCTGCAGGCCGGGCAAAGCGCCGGTTCCAGGAGCACTGGCAGCCCGGGAGGGAATAGGAGAGCGAAGAGGAATCCGAAGTCCCAAAGTGGGAGCTGCGCCGGCAACAAGGGCCATGGATATGGCGACAAGGGCCAGGGATATGGCGACAAGGGCCAGGGATATGGCTATGGTGATGTGAGAGGCGGCTCCGGCCCCTCGGGGGCCAAGGCCCATACCGAAGCTGAGAAGGGCCGTCCTGAGCAGGCTAAGGGCACGAAGAAAAAAAAAAAGCCGGGGGCAGGAGAGACAATCTCCCTGATTGAGCCCGAGGATGACAAAGAGGATCGAAAGCCGGTGAAGCTTTTGCCCAGGAGTTCGCTTGCTTAGCTTCCTGTAGGGACCGAGAGCTGCTGACGAGGCCCGCCCACGCCAAAAAATAAATGGGGTTACCTCGGTGCTTCAAGTCTTGTTGTTTGTTGGAGAAGACGTTCATTCCAGATTCTGTTTTTTTGACTCGTTTTCAACCCTGGCGTCTCTTTTCGGCTTAAAAGAGCCGGCGCCAGGAGGGGCCTACTTAAAGGCTTCTTGAGACGTTTCATTTCAATTATTCTTGTTTCTCTGCTTTTAACACCCATGAAGCGTTTTCGCGTGGCTCTAAAATGGACCGTGTTCACCCTCGAAACACATCTTGTACGGGAGGCACAAGAATTTGCGCATGGGCCCACGGGCATGATCAGGGAAGAATGAAGGGAGGCAATAAAAGAATCATCGCAAATTTTGTTTTGGACCGCACAACCCGCACAGGCACAGTTCAAAATGAAACTTTTGACGAATCAAAGCTCTACGCTTCCCCGAACACGAAGCATCCCTCGGCGTGTTTATCCCCATTGACTCTTGTCGAACAGGATGCGAGGCACCCATCCCGGCTTGTTCACGGAGGATGCTTTAATCACATCGAGATCACTTTGAAAGCTGGCGAACCGGAGCAGGGGTTGCAAAACCATCTCGGTCGAATTGAACGCAAGTTTTCGATCTTCACTGAAGCCAAAGAAATCAAGCTTGCTGATATTGATCCGCCTAATTATCAGTGTCGCAAATCGCTCGTGTTAAACAGAATGGGGAACTGCACAAAGGAGCTTACGCTCTCATGATTCCTCGTCAGACGTTTCATTTGAACTGTGCAAGTGCATGTGAGGCAAAGCATGATCCGCGATGAATCTTTTACTGCCTTCTTTGATTCTCTCCCTCCCTGCTGTGTTCAGTACAAGTATCGGGCCAAAAACAGGTTCTCGAGCCGCGCAGTACAATCCTACCAAGACTACGCATACCCCAACCCAACCAGAAGGAGGCGTGCGTGCAGTGTTGCGGCGCCGGTTGGACAGAAAACAAACAGAATTCACCGATACCCTTGAACAGCAAACGAAAACCTGCGATGCGTTGCTTTGCTTGCTTGCGATCACCGACCATTCGTTTTGATTTTCGCAGATGAAACGTGCTCACAGCATTTTTTAAGCTTTCGTGGAGTTTGATGTTGCATGCTTGATGGGCTTACAACCAAAACACAACACCGTGGGTTGTTATCTTTGACGTGTGGGCTCTGAGCTGGTTCGACCATTAAGCGGGTTGCGTAGTCATGGGCAAGCAGTGCACGGAATACACGAAAGTGATAAAGCAAAAAGAAGTACCTTGATTGCTATTGATGCATGTATCGTGGTATGTTTCTACATGCGGCGAATCAGGCTCATAGGCTATTCAATCCTTGTTATTTTTGCGTAGCTGTGTACGTGCCGTTTCAGTACACAGTGTTTTCTATTATATTTTACAGATAAGAAGCAGGACACGAATGTGCAAAGTTACGTAGCAGATGTGCATGTCACGTCTATTTGGGTAGGGTCGTGCAAAGATAGGTTAGGTGTATTGGTTCTTGCGAGTTAGTCATTCTGGCACAAGGCGTGCTTGCCGCTCGTGCATGGCCTCGGCTGGCAACCGGAAAAAGTTTGCAAATAGGCAGGATTTGCTTCAATCATGTAGGTCAGCGCAATGTTGAAAGCTCCTGCCGCCAGCAACCTCAACACCCTCCTTGGAGCTCCAAAAGAGGTTGCGAAGGCCGTGCTGTATTGTAACAAGGTGATATGCACCTTACACCTGAGTTTTGCTGATTGATAGGCGAACTACGGTCCAGCCGTGACCCGTCAGAGGCTTTGCAACTGCAGGCAGATTCGTTGCTCCGATGATAGCAGGTACGATCCGGGGGCGTTGTCAAGCCAGTTGCCAAGCCGAAAGGACCCCAAATCGAAGTAATGTTTTCACATAGCGGGATATCTTGGCGTTGTTGTGCATGTCCAGTTCTATGCAGGATTAGTATCTCTTGGAAAAGCACCAGCAGCTTCTTCAGTCAATGCGCGCAAGGCTTTTTGCATCCGCATAACGCAAGTGTGCCATTCTAATTGTTGAAATTTGCAGGGCGCTGCATGGAATCAGCTGGAGGAAGACGCCAAGAAGCGAGCCGAGGAGATCCTCGGAATTTGCGAGGCGTCGGTATGAGGAGCTTGTTTCTTGTTCGTGCAGGAGGAAAGTGCCAAGAAGAGGGATGATACCAGACCAGACTGGTGCGCATTTTGTGTGCTGCGGGACGTACAGCAGCTCAATTTCTTCGCTCGGAGGGCCGTCATCGATTTCAAGGACCTAGACAAGCCCCTGGAGAGGGAAGGCGAGGACGATGAGGCCTCCCCGAATCTTGCTTCCAATTGAGCTCATGTACCAGCCAGAGCGAGGAGATAGCGGAGCTTGAAAAAGCCAGGGATGTCAAGGCACGGGAGATGCTGTGTGAGTGCGGAGTCTTGCTGGGAACCATGGCATGAAGGACGGATGGTTCGAAGCGCCGGCGCCAGACGAACCATCTGCAGGCTGATGCTGATTCTGGACGAAGTCGGATTTGATGCTGAGTTCGTGTAGCTGCAGCAAGTAAGATTCAGTAAGCCTTCCGCTCTGCTACAAAGAGTTCGATACGGACGCGCCGGGCGCACGGCGCCACCTTTACCGCTTTGCCCTTCTGGCATCAGAACCTTGCGATGCCGATGCCTCGAAACGCCGTTGTTCGGGATCATATGGTGCAGGACCAGGAAACGGGTTGAAAGAAGCGAGGTTTTGAGATCAGTGTTTCATTTTCAGGTGTTGAGATCACCAGACGGCCCCGCTACCGTGGGTGCACAAGTGCCAGACCCACACACGGCCAGGCCCTGCGATCTTCATCGAACGAGACGAGGAGCACTGGTTACCGCCTCTTCGGTACTGTTCTGCTGTGACAATCAATGATCGAAGGATCATGCCCCGGAAAGTGTGGCTCTGCGAGAGAAGGAGCTCACCAGGCATGATGCAGTCGGAATCAACAGCTTGGAGTGTTGTCCCATCCTGCAGTTTGTGGGCTGATCAGAACGATTTGGACGAGGAGGCCTCATTGGGGTGAAGTGACTGGTTTTCGTGTGGCAGAGTCAAGAAACCTCGACTCCTTTCGAGGACGCTGCGACAGAGGAAGTTGGGGTGGACTTCTCAGAAGTACAGCATGCAATCTAGAACGATCCAGCCGTGAACAGAAGGGTAGCAATCAAAGTCAACACTGCTACAGAGTCAGACAGACGCAACACGGACACACAGATATGCGAACTCCAAGACATATACACAGACACACGCGAACACGGACACGTGCACGAACACGCACACGAGAACCCCACACCCCCACACCCCCACACCCCAACACCCCCACACCCCCACACCCCCACACCCCCACACCCCCACACACCCACACCCCCCCACACCCACTCCCACACCCACACACACCCACACACCCAGCCACGCCCACACCCCCACATCCACACCCACATTCCCACCCACCGACCCGCACCCATACCACCACACACCCACACACACCCACACACACACACCCACAAGCACACCCACACGCACCCGGACCCCCACACCCCGCACACCACGCCCAACCTGCACCCCACCAGCATCCCCTGCCGCACCCGCACCCGCACCCGCAGCCGCACCCACAGCCGCACCTGCAGCCCCTCCCCGCACCCATCATCTGTGCACCCGCACCCGCACCCGCACACACCGAAAGACCGACAGAATCAGCCGACAGATCACGCACACAAACACACCTCATAAAGATATGCTGGGGTACTTACGCAGATTGTCTCCACAGACATGTTTGCAGGCTAGTCGTCTGCAGCTATTATTGAAGGGTCCACATATTTGGCAATGCATGTGCAGTTTTGAAGGTCGGTGATTTCAACGCACCAGGACATGCTGAGGCCTCTTGCGTGGCAGGTGCGACGCGGGGCACTGACGCACATCGTTATGCTGCGTTGGTGCGATGTGCATCCTCATGCTCGTGAGGTGTAGATCAAGATTCAATTTCTGTTGAGATGTTTTGCAGGCGTGGTACCTCTTGTTGAGACGGCACCAGTATCCTCGCTGGTCAATGTGCGCTTTGCCGCGTCCCCGCCCTTGCAGACTTACTTACGGAACACGGTTGGTTGCAGGCCACAGCATGGAGGCAGGTGGAGGAGGTGCTGGAAGACGAGGCAAGACTCAGCCACGGTTAAACAGTGCTTTTGTGGCGCAAAAACAGACGTTTTGTTGCAGGGTGAGACTATGCGACGGGACGATGCCAGACCAGACTGGTACGCTGCTGTCTTCATAGAGAGATGACGACACATGGATTGTGCGCGGCCTGCATTCGGTAGTTAATGCAGTCAGCGAGCACTTGAGCAGGCCCGTCATCGATTTCAAGGACCTAGACAAGCCCCTGGAGAGGGAAGACGAGGACGATGAGGCCTCCCCGAATCTTGCTTCCAATTGAGCTCATGTACCAGCCAGAGCGAGGAGATAGCGGAGCTTGAAAAAGCCAGGGATGTCAAGGCACGGGAGATGCTGTGTGAGTGTGGAGTCTTGCTGGGAACCATGGCATGAAGGACGGATGGTTCGAAGCGCCGGCGCCAGACGAACCATCTGCAGGCTGATGCTGATTCTGGACGAAGTCGGATTTGATGCTGAGTTCGTGTAGCTGCAGCAAGTAAGATTCAGTAAGCCTTCCGCTCTGCTACAAAGAGTTCGATACGGACGCGCCGGGCGCACGGCGCCACCTTTACCGCTTTGCCCTTCTGGCATCAGAACCTTGCGATGCCGATGCCTCGAAACGCCGTTGTTCGGGATCATATGGTGCAGGACCAGGAAACGGGTTGAAAGAAGCGAGGTTTTGAGATCAGTGTTTCAGTTTCAGGTGTTGAGATCACCAGACGGCCCCGCTACCGTGGGTGCACAAGTGCCAGACCCACACACGGCCAGGCCCTGCGATCTTCATCGAACGAGACGAGGAGCACTGGTTACCGCCTCTTCGGTACTGTTCTGCTGTGACAATCAATGATCGAAGGATCATGCCCCGGAAAGTGTGGCTCTGCGAGAGAAGGAGCTCACCAGGCATGATGCAGTCGGAATCAACAGCTTGGAGTGTTGTCCCATCCTGCAGTTTGTGGGCTGATCAGAACGATTTGGACGAGGAGGCCTCATTGGGGTGAAGTGACTGGTTTTCGTGTGGCAGAGTCAAGAAAGCTCGACTCCTTTCGAGGACGCTGCGACAGAGGAAGTTGGGGTGGACTTCTCAGTGCTTCTCAGAAGTACTCAGCAATGAAGTTCACCCCCAATGATTCCAATGATCAGTGTTCTGGGTTTACATTTCCTTCTGATCAGCTCTAGATTCAAGCTGACGGCAGAAGGAAGGTCCATCTCAACCAGTGCGGGCTCCAGGAGTCAAGGCAGACACTGAACGGAACGATTGTCAACACAAGACGGCAAAACTTGCCGCGTTTTTTATTACCGTCCCTTGACGGAAGACTATAGCTGGACACAGAGGGCTGCGGAAGGGGTTGCCCCGCGAAGGGCGCGGAAGCAACAAATACCTCTGAATTCGTAAGCCGCCATGCCAGAAGAATACATCAGTCGAATGAAACTTAACGTGAACCAGCCATTGTCCAGTACTCTTCCAGGGTTCAGGTCTTCTTCCAGGAATCCCGAGGCACGGCGGAAGCAAGTGGAAGTCCTGTTCCCTGGCACGGATGTGGATGGATGTGGCCCGCATTTGCTGAAAGGAGTTAGCATAGCACGTCAGGAGGGGTTTACGTTTACGCTCTTGCGGAAGGGCTTTCTTGCAAAACGGTTCGTGCAAGTGGGCGCGCTGGGGGTGCGGAACGACGACATGCATGCAGTGAGACTCAGAAACATGCCAACGCTTCGAAGCGTGGAAGGCTGCGGAAGCAGTGGCGGAAGGGTTGTGCGGAAGGGGTTTTTGCGTCCTTGGGATTGAAACAGAGTATACAAAACAGCTCAAGTGAATGTCTCGGTTGAAGCAGTGGAAGTCATTCACAAGGGGTACGGCCCTATCGTGGCGCAGAATCCACTAACAGAGTATTGCAGAGCGGAAATGCAGTTCAGACCGAGGTCTGTGCACCACACTGTGCTGCTGTCCGCTAAGAAGGCAACCATACAGCAGCCAGTTGCCACGGCGAAAATCATCAGAAGGCCGGTTGACACGTGCGCAGCGAACACCAGCAGCCTTACACGAACTATCTTTCATTCCAACAGTGTTTCACGAAGTTGCAAGAAACGTATCATGAAGTAAAGCAGTTTGTTTCGTGCGCAAATAGACGACAGAAGGTTCTAACACCGCTCCTTTGGCAGAACAAGCACTTCCTGTGGAGCTGTGTTTCCACCGTGGACCCTGCTTCATTCCCTTTGTCTGCAGTTCTAGTTGCGCAACACTTCGAAGATCGTGCATCATCAAACATGTTTTGTCTGAAACACTGCAGCACTATGACAGCAGCTCGTGCTGTTTGCGTTTGCGGAAAGGGTAAGCCTTGCCTCTCGGATGCCATGATCTGCGTTGTTATAGTTGGCATTTGTTTATATTCAACATAACCAAAAAATCGAGCACACTTCGCAGAGATCTTCACGGTTTACAGGTTATGAGTCTTCATGCTGACCTATTGACCCAAAAGAGTCGAGACCAAATTGATGCTCACCGGGGACATAATTTTTGTTGGTCTTATTTCCCGAAAGCATCGCGAAGGGTTCTTCCGTGCGAAGCCCTTGAGAGAAGTACATTAAGTACATAGAGTGAAGTACATCGAGTGAAGTGCATAGTACATAGAGCGAAGTGCATAGTACATCGAGTGAACTACATCGAGTCAAGTGCATGGTACACAGATGACTCTATGACTCTATCTCAATCTGACTCTATAACACTATGACTCCATGACTCCGTGACTCTATGACTCTATGACTCTATGGCACTATGACTCCATGACACTATGACTCTATCACACTATGACTCTATGACACTATGACTCTATGACTCTGTGACTCTGTGACTCTATGACTCTATGACTCTGTGACTCTATGACTCTGTGACTTATCTACATCTCGGTATAGAATCTCTCTTTCTAAAGCCAGGGTGGCACCGTCGTCATCGATCGGGAATGCAACCCTTCACAGGGGTTGGCGTGGTCGAGCCTCCAAACGTGTGGGAAAGTGACAACTCTTACGCGCCACGTGCAACCCTTCACAGGGATTCGTGTGGTCGAGCGCCCAAACGTGTGGGAAAGCTTCAACCTCAGGCGGCACCCGTGCAACCATTCACAGGGATTCGTTTGGTCGAGCGCCCAAACGTGTGGGAAAGTTACTATTTTTCGGCGCTCTTAGGCGCCATTCGCAAACCTTTCACAGGGATTCGTGCAGTCGAGCGCCGAAACGTGTGGGAAAGTTACAACTTAAGGCGTGCCCGTGCAACCTTTCACAGGGATTAGCGTGGTCGGGTGTTGACACGTGTGCGAAAGTTACTACTTTCCGCGCGCTTAGGCGCCATTCGCAACCCTTCACAGGGATTCTTGTGGTCGAGCGCCCAAACGCGTGGGAAAGTTACTACTTTTCGGCGCTCTTAGGCGCCATTCGCAACCTTTCACAGGGATTCGTGTGGTCGAGTGAACGAACGTGTGGGAAAGTTACTACTTTTTGCCGCTCTTAGGCGCCATTCGCAACCCTTCACAGGGATTCGTGTGGTCGAGTGTACGAACGTGTGGGAAAGTTACTATTTTTGCGGTGCTTTGCGGTGCTCGGGAGAGAAGTACATAGAGTCATAGAGTGAAGTACATAGAGTCAAGTGCATAGTCCACAAAGTGAAGATGTATTTGACTCTATGACTCTATGTACCTGTGTACCTGACAAGTACTTGACTTTATGCACTGGATTGGACTAGACTAATATGACTCGATGTGCATGTATACTTGACTCTATGACTCTTTAGGGTTTAGGGTTTAGGGTCTGAGAGTTTAAGGCTTAGGGTTGTAGGGTTTATTGCTTAAAGGATTAGGGCTTAAGGGATAGTGAAGATGTACTTGGCTTTATGACTCTATGTACCTGTGTACCTGACTTATGTACTTGACTTTATGCACCGTACTGGACTAGACTAATATGACTCGATGTACATGTATACTTGACTCTATGACTCTCTAGGGTTTCGGGTTTAGTGCTGAGGGTTTAAGGCTTAGGGTTTAGGGTTTATTGCTTAAAGGTTTAGGGCTTAAGGTTTGGGGTTTCTAGGCATTGGTTCACCATAGTAAACCAGTAAACCTCGATATTTTCGTTTGTTCCAAAAAAAACCTGAGGTTTGGGGACCCTTGAGCCAGAAATTTGACCTCAGCCCAAAAGAGACACCTCCAGTACTAAAGTTTGTATACAAAAATCGGTTTTGGATCCAACCTGGGGGACTCTAATGCATCTATGCATTGGACTATTTGTCTCTATGTACTTGACTCTATGCGCTGGACTATGCACTTGGCTCTATGCACCTCACTGTATGCAGTTGACTTCATGTACTTGAGTTTATGCACTGATTCGAGAGCTCTGACAACATGGAGTGAAGTACACAGAGTGAAGTACATAGAGTGAAATACATAAAGTCAAGTACATCGATCTCGGCATCATTATGTACTTGATGACTATATGCACTTCACTCTCTGACTCTATGTTTCTATGCACTGGATTCTATGACGTAGCGCAAAACGCTTCGCTAATGATGCTTTCGGGCCAATTGTTTTATAGTTTTTTTTTTTCTTTTGGCACTTTTTTTTTGGCCCTTCCGTGGGAAGCAAGGAAGGAAGGAAGGCGACGACCACGACCAGTGTGCCCCCGAGAGTGTGTGTCTGACATGCAGCTCTTTGCGCAAGCTTCGCGCCAGCCCGCACAAGAGGCCGCGCAAGGTCTCCTTTCCCGAGCCATGGAGGACCCAGCAGATGCGCCGGAACTGTTGGCGGCATTTTTGCGCTGGCTTGAGCAGGGAAAGCCGTCTGCTCAGATGCGGAAGAACCCGTAAAGAGCATTGATCACAGTCGTAGAGATCAGAAAAACTCTCATAGAACCGATGAGACACGGGATGGAACACTTCAAGAACAGCGGACTTTCGGTGAAGACGGGCAACCAAGAGGCATATCTTCATGTGGGAAATGTTGGTTTTTCCGGGGAAACCCCTAGAAAACGAACCAAAAAAAAAACAATGAGATAATCCTATGAAAAGATATAGGAAATTGTGTTTTTTCCGCGGAAAACCAAGAAGACGAATCAGAATTCATAGGAAAACCATGAAAACGAATCAAAACGAAAGAATGCATAGGAACTCCTGCAAAAAGTGGTACTAATCTTATGAAGCTATACAATGTTGGTTTTCCTAGGAAAAACCAAGACAACGAAC